CTAGACTGGGTCGAGAGGGCCGCGCAGTCCGTAGGGCCGTCCCGACACTGTCGGGAGAGGCACTACGTCGACAACCCGCGTACTACAGTCGGACCAGTGGCACCACTGGGGGACCAGAGGAAATGTAACTCCTCTGAAGTCTCTACAAGTAAGCGGGACGCGTAGCTGGTGGGCCGCAGCTTCTCTGGCGTACCACATACGTAAGGACGCAGGCATCCAAATCTAGGACTGGATGACTTTTAGGGGTGTCAGGACAGTCACCCCCAGGGATGGCCGTCTCCACTGCAGGTGGTGGAGGCCACGAATGTGTCTCGGTAGCGAGAGGTCCCATCCTTCCTTGTAGACGTACAGCGTCCGTCCCCTGTCACCGGGCGAGTGAACGAAGTATATTTGCGCGCCTTAATGAGCGGTATACACCTTCATTTAGCCGTGAGCGGGCACGACACCTTAGTAGTACACAAATACAGGCTTGCTGCTGTTGTGTTCCGTCGTCGTGTATGTATTTAGCTGTCCTCCCACTGCTAGGTCCGGCGTCGGCGACTGTGTCGGGCCTCCGGACAACACGACCCCGCCCGTGTGCTCATGAGAGACAGTCTCGTCAATATAAGGGCGCTTCGGGACTTGTCTCCCCGTCTGGGGAGTACGGTCTCTCCAGGAGCGTACTCCCCGCGCTGACTCGGAGGTGGCCGTTTTTTTCCTCGACCAGAGGGGTCCATACCTCCGTCCAGCCTCTCCGCTCCACTAGAAAGCGTCGCTCGCGCCCTTGCGGTTACACGAGGACCAGAAGGACTCTTTCGTCCTAGTGGGGGGAGGACCCCACCTGCGCAGCGTGTACGTCTGGAATCCGGGATTACACAATGACACGCGAAAGGCGTGGTTCAGGGAGTTTTACTACGGTTAGCCTAAGGACCTGGGCTACACGTCTCCTCGCGACTATCGCCAGAATTCATCGGGCTCGCCGTGCCCTTCGCAGGGCGCGCGCCAGGCGGACGTATGTCGCCGTACGACAGTCCTCTGGGCACCCTTTAAGGCACGCCGCCCCTCACGAGAGGAGGCCGCACCTCCCTTCGGCTCGGTGTCATGCGCCGGTTACACATCGTCGGTTTCGTCCCTCGCACAGCGCGCGCTTGCCTGACATCTACTCGACACCGGGGAGAGAGTTTCTACCACTCATGGTAGTCCCCAGATCCGGCCGCAGGTGGTCCTCGCAGAATGTGTCGGTTTACCTCGCGGCAGTCCGCAACACGCCACATCCCTCCCTTCGGACTGGCCCGGCAATGCAGGGGACCGAGTGCACGCAGTAACGGACGGTCGGACAACGACTGTCCCTTAACCGATCTCGTCGCTATTTCTTCGTATACGGCCGCCGGTAAAGAAGTACGGTTGCATCCAAAACTCTAGCCGGTGCCCAGTCCAGTCGGGGAGCTACTGTTTGCACAAGATGCTCCTCATGTCTCTGAGTCTGGGCAGTGCGGAAATCGCGAGAGTTACCGTAAACCGAATCACGACGCGGTGACCATTTCGAGAAACTTCGGTATCTAGTCCAAGGGCGACTTCAACAACCGCCTCGGAGTTACTCATCCCGAGACGAGGCAATCGAGACTGTAGCTCGTTTCTCCACTTCACTGGACCGACGAGAGAGGCCACGAGGAGGCACCAGAGGTCTAGCGTTCCTCTACCGTCGAGTACGACTCAAGCGGGCTTGGGCCGCAAATCGTTTCAACTCATTCTCAACTCCCTACAGCGGGTAAAGGAGAGGACTGGGTACGGTCACGACTTATCGTACAGTCTCCTACTCGATTACAGCCCCCAACAAAATTACGCACGGGAGCGAGTTTGCGCGCGCTACTAAAGAGACGTGTTACCATGGAAACCAAACAATGGTGTAGCTGTATTAAAATCCGAGTGGAAACAGTCCTGTGTAAATCTCATTTTGTCAGAAATCGGGAGAAATGCGGGAGAAATATGACCCCGGGAGGAAACCGGGAGAGGGCAATGACATCGGGAGTCTCCCGCGAAAATCGGGAGGGTTGACAAGTATGACTCCCCTCCACATCAATCCCTTCAAACCTGGGATTTAGTTTCATATTGAAATGATTTCGTCCATCTCTTCCATCCATCTCTTTTATTATAGTTTTCTATGTATTCTTTTCGGTCCTGTATTTGTTTTTCCAGGTATAACATTTCATTTAAGTTCTTATAATCATAACAATAATAATAATTGATGGATTCATGTCCTTATGGTATTTGAGCTTGTTTCAGGTCAACTTTTGTATTGGATGTTGAATCCATCAATTATTATTATTGTTATGATTATAAGAACTTAAATGAAANGTAAATATATATGGTTTTGGACAGACTTTTACTCCCGACTAGTCTAAGACCGGTGAAATACTACAGTATTGCTAAAAAAAACCGAACACATTGGAAATCCGGTTAGTGGGTGGTCCGATTTGGGGGGGGTGGAATAGTGGACTTAGAGCAGGATACTCCGTGGTACACAAAGAAAAAACGTGGTTATAGTAGAGTCTCCCCGCACCCCTCCCAGAGGAATAAAAGTAAGATTTCATGTCTGGGTCTAGTCGTGAAAACTTTTGTCCCGACTTTGTCTCCCTAATCCCTACCGATGTACTAAGACAAACTACAAAACCTCGCGTTGTGCAGTCTCTGTACAGAACATAATGATATAGACTCTGGATGAATATATCCAAAACTCCTATTTGTCATATTATCGCCCCGTAAATTTGTGTAAATGAATGAATATTAGTACTCCCCTACGAGGCTAGCTAGCCAGGCGGCTAGCACAAGCCGCTATAAGTGAGTAGCGGCTGTGACTTATGTTACTCTGAAGAAGAGACACGCCCGCCGTTTTTCTTCCGAGCGGTTTTACCGAAGTGGTCAACCCGTCATAAATTTCCACAGGCTTTCTCTGTTATTTTTATCGCCAAACGTTGCACACACTTCATCTTTAGGGACGTCGAGGTGGGCGCACTGCCTGACCACTCGCCTCGTTTTGTGTGTGATTCTCCATTCTGGATTGTGTGAAATGCATAAAAATGAGTATTGGAGACCTGTTCGATTTTGATCAATATGTATATAAATAAGAAGTGACGGCCCCAGGGTAATGACTAGTCACTCTATGTACTCTTGCTTATGACTCCGACTGGTCCTCTCTCTCTCTCTCTCTCCTCTCTCCTCTCTCCTTTTTCTCCTTTTCTCTCGCCAAGGGCGAATTAGAAGAGGGCACAATAATGGTTTCAAATTCATTTGAACTTTATTACATGAAGTAAACTTATATCTATTAATGCGCAACCAACAACAAACACCTTCGCGGTCACTTACTCGCGGTAATTTCGACTCAAAATTTGTAGCGAAATTTACCTTGCTAGGGGTATCGGTCTGGCGCCGTCTGTATGCAGGGACCCGCCCGTAAAACGAAATGGTCCCCGCCGCGGGTGGGGCTTGAATGTAAAAGGTCCTTAGACTTAAACAGTGCCCCCACCCCCCCCCGACAATCTGCGAGCTCTAAACAGTGCCCCCCCCCCTCCGCGAGCACTTAACAACAATGCCTTTGTCCCCCAAAATCCAGTACTCTATGAAGTCCAACGGTATTCCGACAACTTCGCCAGAAATAATATACCAAAACACCGTGTAACATTGCGACACGGTTGAACCCGTTCGTGCGTCCGTTTGAACTCTCGTGCGTGTGTCCCACCTCACTCAACTCGCTTCCTCTCTTTCACTCTCTCTCTCCTCTCTCCTCTCTCTCTCTCCCTCTCTCCTTTCTAACTTGCTCCGTCTATGCACGGTCGCCAGACGAACGCGTGTCTCGTCTTCAAACACTCTCTCGGACGAAACCAGTTAAAGAGAAGTTTATATTTAACTAACGGTCGGAGGAACAGGGACCGACCAGAACGATCGGGCCAAACCCATTGCATTTTCGGGATTTGGACTACAGAAGATTACACGACGTAGTAGCGCTCAAACGGTATAAGAAAGTACTGCGTGAAGGACTATAGGTAACAGTCTAATTTATATGTTACTATTAATTTAAAGTATCGTTTATTTTTTACTATAATTTTGATTAGAAAGTTGATCAAATTTGTTTATTTTATAATCCTGCTCGGGATGTTTATTGTTGGGTCTTTGTATATTATTTTTGTAAATTTTACAAACCAAAAAGTCGGCGACTATTTTGACGCCCGGGTAAGGGGCGGGTAACTGGGCCCAGACGGGTATGGGGGTGGGTGACTAGCCTTAGCGGGTTTTAACCGTTACGCCTCGTGGGATTTATTAGTACTAAGGTTATAAATAAAAAGATTCGCAGGTTCCAAAATAGAAGTCATAGCTAAATAATGTTGCAGATAAAACACAAAGAAAAGTCTTACTTATCTCTAGTAACGAAATTCGACTGTTTCATTTTCGAAAGAGCCGACAACTACCTTTTCTAAGACCGACCTATGTGTGAAGTTATAGTCGACGGACATCTCTATGACACCTCTTCGACATACACTTTATTCGAATGGTTGGTGACAGTTACCGAAAGTACGAATATCATTCCGTGAGCCCGAAAGTCGTTGGTAAGGTCTAATAACTAATGGGTTGTGGATTGGGATTAGAAACAAACAAGGGTGCCGACGTGAAAAAAAGAGAAAGAATCTTTTTTCCTGAAACTTTCAGAATGTCTTTACACAGAGGGGACACATGTTTATGTATAAAAGACATGAAGAAGTGGATTTAGCATAATAGGTGACCTTTAAAATGTTATTGAAGGAAATCAATACTATATTATAAATAAATAAATGTTCTATAGATGACGTATTTGTGGATTATTTTGGCCTAGTTCACAATGATTTATTTACTTAAAAACAAAAGAAAACACTATCTCAAATCTCTATCACTACTAACAATATACTGCTAATAGGTAAAGCAAATGTGTTGAAACTGAGGGAAATAATTGATCATAATATTAAGATGGGAATACTTTGAATGCAGAAGGATCATGTTGTGTGAAACGTGCACTGACCGTTGCTGACTGTCCTCCGGGCGAGCTCCCACAGCACGAGTCCCAGAGCCCAGATGTCCACTCTCTTGAAGGACTCAAAACAGTCCATCTGGATGGAGTCATCGAGCACTTCAGGGGCCATGTAGCGCTTTGTGCCCACTTTAGGGTTGTTTCCCACGTCTAACTCGTTGGTGTCTTGAAAATGCATGACAGCCAGACCTAGCGTAAAAAACACAGAACATTTAAAAGTTTTACCTCAAGACACAAGACATATAAAGTGAGCAGAAAAAAAGTCCTTCTGCACAATGAAGCTCAAGTGAAGTAACAATAAGAACAATACTTTTTTGATTGAAGGGGGACTTAAAGCTTCCCATCTCTATATAACTATAGTCAAAAACCAAACACTCGACTCACTCAAGCAGCTGATTTAAATGCTGAAACACTACTTGTTTATTGTAAACAGCTCTGTTCCCACCGGATGTATCTCCAACCTAAGAACAACTCGCTTGGGAGACAAACAACTGCTACCATGTTTTCAAAACAGCAAAATGCGTCATCCGGATCAACACCTATTACATCGAGCCTGTAAAAGCCAAGCCAGTGGCCGGGTTATAGCTTGTACCTCCATTTGTTTTTTTCCCAAACACCTGCAGAGGGAACATTGGGGTATTGGATAAAGTGGACCGAGTTCCTCATTAATGTATTTTTGATTAGGCGCCCGGGTGATACATTTAAGCGGAGGTTGTTTTTCCTGAGTTGAAGACAAATATGGCCAAGCGGATAGATGAGAGTAGTGTGATGTTACTGCAGATGCATCTCTTGCACAATATCTACATTACCCATGAGCCTCAACCTTTTATCAACCCCTTCAGTAGCTTTGAGGTGGTCAACATGTTTTTGTATTACTTATTTACTGAAACCATATTTATAGCTTGACCATTCAATCTCATGTTAGTATTATAGTTGTGTTGTAAATTATTTGATGTACTATTCATCAAATTCCAACCTGACAAATGTATTATGGGATATGTAGTAGAGTTTAAAATTGATTTCTGTGACATCAAACAGATTGGTCCAGTAAAAAACAAGTCAAACTTTTCTAACCATTGGATTAAAAGGATAAGGTAAATGAAAACTAAATAAAACAAAGGCTATTGTTAATAATATAGATTGGTCAGTATTCTCACCAAGGTCAGCAATGCAGCACTGTCCGTTCTTTTGCACCAATATATTTTTGCTCTTTAAGTCTCGGTGTGAGATGGCAGGTTTCCCCTGGGTGCCAAAGATCTCCACGTGCAGGTGAGCCAGGCCGCTGGCGATGGAGAGCGCCATGCGCAGGCAGCTGGAGGCGTCCAGGGTGCTGAGCTGGAGGTAGTCGTACAGGGAGCCCATCTCATGGAAGTGAGTGATCAGCCACAGCTGAGTGCTGGAGTTCCTCGAGGTCATGTCTGAAGCTATGAAGCCTACATTGAGAGAAATATTATTGCAATTAATAACAATGGTTTTTGCACACCCTTTACATTCAATTCAAGGCTTTATTGTCATTTGTACATTAGCTACAGTGAAGATATGTCAATGAAAACTTAGGTCACAGGCTCCTCCAACAGTGCAACATATATATAGGACATAGGACGAATACAACTGATAAAATAGTGCAAGTAAATACAAATAAAATAGAATATAAATAGAGCAAGAAGACCCTACAAGTAAATGGAATATGATATTTTAGATAAATAATTTGTAAGATGCAAACAGATGAATGTTTATGGATGTTCTTTCAAAAGTTCAAGTGTTTAACAGTGTTATGGCCGGTGGGATGAAACTGTCCTTGAGTCTATAAATGGTAACCGATGGACACAACATGCATTGCATAGTTAATAAACATATCACTTTGTAAATTCAAATGTTCTTTTCACTTGTCTCTTTTTTGTTGTTGTGTTGAAGCATATTATGGTTATGCTAGATTTAATATGAATTGTTTTATCATACACATGTTGGCAGGTGTTCTCCCAGCTTATTTAGCCTGTATAAGATCAATATGGTACACACCCAGGATATTCTCATGTCTCAGCAGCACCGTGTTGTAGATCTCAGTCTCTCTGAACCAGGACTTCTCGTCTCTGGAGGAGAAGATTTTGACGGCCACACTCTCCCCCTGCCACTGGCCCCTCCACACTTCACCGTAACGGCCCTTACCTGGAGGGGAAAAACATTGGAGAGTTAGCAAACGGATATATAGAAATCAGCCAGCAGGATGTGTTTTGTCTTGGATACTCTACACTAGCATTACTTGATGTCTCCAAATGTGAAAAAAGGCTCATATTTACAGTTAAAGTTTCTGAATAGCTGAGGAAGAGAGTCAAACATTTTGCAACTATACACTAAGCTAATATTTCTCAGAAGATGAAGAAATCAAATGAGAGCTAAAAGGAAGGAGAGTATTGAAATGACATTTATCATTTAAAAATAACTCAGTCTGCCAACCCCTGCACTACAACAACAACAACAACTCTGTAAGCCGGTGTTGTGGTTGAGTCTGTTTAAATGGCAGCTTAATCTGCTGCCCCCTAGTGGCTAAAAATCGAACATCTATGATTTGCTAATCTGTCAACACATGTGGGGTAAACAATGATATACATTCTGAGCATACTTGTCAACCCTCCCGATTTTCGCGGGAGACTCCCGATTTCATTGCCCTCTCCCAGTTTCCTCCCGGGGTCATATTTCTCCCGCATTTCTGACAAAATCTCCCGATTTCTGACTGTTTCCACTCGGACTTTAATACACTACACCATTGTTTGGTTTCCATGGTAACACGTGTCTTTAGTAGCGCGCGAGAGGGTGAGGCAGATATTTACAGAAAACAGAACAAGAATCGACAACTACTCTACTCTCTGCTCACTCCTTTCCTGTAAAATACAGGTCCAGCCCACATATGCTCCATCAAGGATGGTGCTACAGGCCGCAAGGCAGTGCACTTACAACTACAATAAGCATGTTAATGTTAATCTAACAGCTCCGGCGATCCACTAGCAGAGTTTTCTGAGGCTTTAACAGAGCACTTACCCACACACTCATTGAGCGTGATTTGACGTGCGACCGTTCTCTGAACCAGGAAAGGGAGTCCTGAGCCACTTCCTGAAGTGCAGGAATGATCC